GTTGGCGCAGGATAGAGCAGGGTTTAGAGCTGTTGTGCATAGGGTCGCTATGAGTCGGAAACGACTCGATGGCACATAACAACAACAACAAGCCCTTTTTGCCACACTGACAGACTTTAGTTTTATGACATTTTAGTCCTACTTGGGAGATGCCAAGAATAAAGGCAAAAAAAAAATCCCCACAAAAAATGATTCTACCTCGCAGCAGAATATCCAGAGCCAGTGAGACAAAGCTCAGTCACAAGACAAACCCTTCCCCTGTACGAGGGGAATAATGCTCTTTGTACATGATTTTTTTTAATTGAGGTTTTAATGAAAGTTTATAAAGAACTTGTGTTTCCAATTATTCATTGTTGCACATTTTTCTCCCTGCCCCCACTCCCTCCAGATAGCTTTTTTCTTGGGGAAAAAGTTCTTTCATTGTTATACAGCCCCCCCCTTTACTATGCAGCTCTGATTGTATATGATTATTTTTAAAAATTCAGTTATCATTCGATACTACAAACCATAAACACACACTCGGATAAGCTTTGATCATTGCCTATACTCAGCAATTGCCACAGTGCACAGTAGTGGCAGCACATAGAAAGTTCTTCTGTGTCCCTTCCTAGCCCATTCCCCTCCATATTCCAGAGGTAACCTCTCTTCTGATTTCTAACCCCATTATCTTTGTTTGCTGCAAAAGGTCACTTTTAGTTAGATTAGAGCAGTAGTTTTCAATCAGAGGCAATTTTGGCATCCCTTCAAGAGATTGGACAATGGCTGGAAACATTGTTGGTTGTCACAGCTGAGGTCTAATTGGTAGAGACCAAAGATGTTGCTAAATGTCCTGTAATGCGTAGGACAGCTCCTCAAAGCAAAGAGCGGTAGGTTCAGACATCAGCATGCTGAGGTTGAGAAACCCAGTTACGATGATTACTGGTGTGGTTTGAAGCCACACCTCGGATATCTACAACACAAACAACTCAGCTGTGCTTGCAATAATGACGATCATTGCGAAATGGGAAATGGCAAACCTCTGATTACTAAGCTTGATGGCAATCTCCTCCTGCCACCAACAGAGGCAAGAGGTGAGAATTTCACCCCAAATGCACACAGTCCAGCCTCGGGTGGTGGAAGGAATGGACTGAGTCAGACAGACGGGAGTCTAAATCCTGACCAGGTGACTCACGCCACGTGAGAGGGCACATTACATCACCGCTCTGAGCCTGGAGAATGCCTTCAAGCGTGAGCTTGGATTCTTTTGTTGCGAGAATGAACAAAGAGAACTCAGTTCGGCCCATAGGGTTCTGTAAATGGGTCCTCATCCCCAAATCTCTCAGATGCTCTGAGGCAAACATTAGGACGACATCTCCAAGGGTCCAAAGACAACTGCTGCACTTTTTTTTTTTAAATCAGAACACGCACAATCCACAAGCCCCAGAAAAGGATGAGGGAAAGGGAATGAGAAAGATGCTGGAAAACCCTCTTCTTACCTATAGGTGAGATCCAGGAATCACCCAAAGCGACCCCAGCAAAATTGCACTGGATGCTCCCCTGCTGAATGGCCTGGAAAAAGAACAAAAAGACACATGTTTGTGAAGAACACACAGGTCTCCTTCTCCTCCTCAGTTGAGGGAGTGAGGAAAGCTTTATACCTGCCTTTACTGAGCACAGAACACTTCTGCCCAGCTTCTCCAGGATTCCCTGGAGAAGGACTTGATTCTCATAAAGGGGGCACGAGTCATTCTGCCCTGCCGCCATATGCAGAATGATTTGTTATTAGGTGCCGTCAAGTTCAGTACGACTCATGGGGACCCTAAGAACGACGGACCCGAACCCTGTCCTGTCCTGTGTCATCTTCATCATCCTGACACACCTGAGCCCACTGCTGCAGTCACTGTGTCTATCTGTCTCCTTGGGGATCTTCCTCTCTTTTGCTGACCCTCCTCCTTTCCAAGCATGAGATCCCTTTCCAAGGAAGAACCTCTCCTAGCAACATGTGCAAAGTATGAAAGATGCAACTTCGCCATTCTTGCAGCCAAAAAGCACCCTGGCTGCACCTTTTCTTAGACATTCCTGTTGATTCCTTTGATTGTCCTTGGGATATTCAGCCCTGTTCCTCCAGCACCAAAACTCGAAGGCATCAATTCTTCTTCCGTCATCCTTATTCACTGTCCAGCTTCCCAAGGGAAAAAAACTGAATAAGAACCGCATAAGCCTCTGTACTTCACTCACAGGATGTTATCAGTCCTTAGTCTTCTTGAGAAGGGACAACTGTCACCCATTCGCCATTGAGGTCTGTGCGTTCTCATAAAGTCCTCGGAAGGCACCGTTGGAATCATCATTGTATAAGCACCAGACACACTTGAAGGTCTCAGAGAATGGAACAGATGCTTTCATGACTGTCTGCTCCTTTAATGATTTTAAAAATAACACAGATCTCCAGTAGCAGACAATTGGGAGTGAGTTAAATATCTCTCCATAGTACTGGCTAAATGACATATGTTATTTCCACAGCATATGATGCAACTATCAAAACAGAATAAGAATTTTATTTCTGGGTTTCAATTTTTTTTTTTTAAAAGCTATTACTTGGAAAAAAGTTCCAAGATAATATTTAAATTCATTTTCAAAGGCACTGAAATGTCTGCAGCATATGCTATCATTGGTATAAAAATGGAAGAAAGAATATATATAAATTATATAGGCATAAAATATCTCTGAAAATATAGGACAAATGAATAACAGAGATTACCCTGGGAGAAGGAGGGTTTGCACAGGAGAATTTTCATAATATTCCTTTTACATTTTAAGCATTTTGAATCCTGTGACCCTAAGCTATTCAGAGCACTCTAATGTGGAAAAAAAAAGGAAAAAAGCAATGAGTATCCCACTTTGAACACTGGTAATTAAATGGGGGGTGGGATGTGGCACTTACCTGGCTTTTCTAGAAGGAATTATGTTTTAGGGTAACCTATATAGTGACAGGTGATAAGGAACACTGTACTTTATGGAAGAATAGACATGAACAAAATGAGAGAGAGAAATCATCCTTTTGAAATCTTTAATAAAGGTGACTGATTTCAGTGAGGATTAAGAATGATTTTCAAGCCATTATGTGAAAGGGGGATTGGTCTAGACATCATGTGGTGTGTAAATGACACGACTGAGGTAACTTTCCACCAACAGGGGAAGGCAGAGTTGTTCAGGATTGCGATCAGGCAGCTGAAACCCTCTTCTGGCTTTAATGGTGAGTCTGATGAAAGTCAAGCTCACAGTATTACCTAGCACATTACCCAGCATGTCACAGCAATTTCCCCCTCGTAAAGAGCTATTAAATATTTACACCTTGTGAGTCAACTGGCCCAGTCTGCAACAACCCAGCTCTACCCACGTATAGATGGGTTTTTTCCCAAGCAACATAGCTCATAACACTCTACAACTTGCTTTTTCCACTTAACTATACTCACAAGACAGCGTTCTGTGTGTTTTGGTTTTTTGTTAATTAAATTTTTTTATTTTATTACTTTTTTTGTGTGTGTACCATCAAATCAGATCTGAGTAGTATAGGAGAAGATTGCCCCTCCTTCTCCAGCAGAGCATCTGGTGGATTTGAACCGCATACCTCTGGGATTACAGTGTTGCTTCTTGCCACTAGACCACCAGAGCTCTCTGCATTCTATGTTTAATACATCTATATCCATCCATTCTTTGTGATGACTGCAAAGTGTTTCAACATGGAGGGAGGCACCTATTTTATTTTAATTGTCCCCAACTATAGCCATTGTTGTTACTATTGTTGTTATGTGCTGTCGAGTTGCCTGTGACTCATAGCGACCCTATGTACAATAGCCCTAAACCCTGCTCTATCTGGTGCCAATCTTACTGTCTCCGACACACCTATTCCCATTACCCCAGGGACTGAATCAATATGCCTCATTGAGGGTCTTCCTCTCTTGTGCTGTCCCTCCACCCTCCCAAGCATGGCATCCCTCTCCAAGGACTGATCCCTCCTTGCATCATGTCCAAAGTATGTCCGAGGAAGCTTCAGAATCCTTGCCCCCAAGGAGCAGCCTGGCTTCACCCTCTCCAGGACAAATCTGTTTGTTCTTCTAGCAGTCCATAGTAAATTTAGTACTCTTCTCCAGCACCACAGCTCAAAGGCATCAATTCTCCTTCTATCATCCCTAGTCATTGCTCAGCTCTCTGATACATAACAAATAATTGCAAAGACCATGGCCTTGTCAGGCACACCTTAGTCTCCAGATACCATTGCTCTTCAATACTTCGGAGAGGTCTCTGACAGCAGACTTTCCAATGTCATTTGTCTTTTAATTTTCTGGCTGCTGGTACCAAGAGTGTTGATTATAGAGCAAGCAAACTGAAGCTGTTAACAATCAGTCTCTTCACCATCTATCATGATGCTGCCAATTGGCCCAGTGGTAAAAATCTTTGTTGCTTTGTTTTGTTTTAGAATCTTTGTTTTCTTGATGTTGAGCTTCAATCCATATTGAAGGCTACAGTCCTTGACCCTCTGCAGCAAGCGCTTCAGGTCCTCCTCAGCTTCAGCAAGCAGGGTTGTGTCATCTGCATAATGCAGATTGTTGATGAGTCTACCTCCAACGCTGATGCCACATTTCTACTCATAGAGTGTAGCCTCCCAGATATATTTTCTACAAGGCAAAAATCCAGCCTCCCACTACTTCCCAAATAGCCATTGGATGCCACATAACTTATGCAACATTCTATCCTTTCTCAATGAATTGGAATGCCAACTTACTAGGTGTATGGCCATTGCCACGAGCCAATTCTGACTTACAGTCACCCTCCACTAAGCTTCCAAGGCTATATATCTTTATAAGAGGACACTGTCCATCTTTCTTCCACAAAGCAGTTAGTAGACTTGAACTGCTGACTTCTGGTTAGCAATGAAACACGTAATGTATTACCAGAGCTCCTTACTCTTGTGTGTGTGTGTGATACATATACATGAACATGTATTATATATATGTTCATATATTGTTGCTGTTACGTGCTGTCAAGTCAACTACAACTCATAGCCTCATTACACACAAAAGCTCTGCTTCCTGCTCTATCCTGAGCCAATCTCACTGAATGACACATCTACCCCCACTACCCCAGTTAACATGTCATACATCTCATCTGGAGTCTTTGTCTCCTGAGCTGTCCCTCTACTCTTCCGAGTATGATGTTCCTCTCCAAGGACTGGTCCTTTCTGACAATATACCCAAAGTATGTAAGATGGAGCCTCAAAATCCTTTCCTCTGATATATAATATAAATATATTTGTAAATTTGTTGACACATAATCTTTAACGTATAAACAAGCTGCTCCTTAGAGGCAAGGATGGTGAAACTTCATCTCACATACTTTGAGCATGTTGTCAGGAGGGAAAAAGACATCATGCTGAAAAAGAGGGTCAGTGAAATAGAGGAAAACCCTTAGCATGATAGATTGACATAGTGATTGCAATGGGCTCAAGTGTTTCAGAGATTATAAGGATGACACAGAACAGGGCAGGAGTCAAATATGTTGTTAAAGTCACCTGCTATATGAGTCACAGTCAACGTGATAGTATATAACCACAATATATAAATATATAGTACAATATTATTTTTGGAAGGAGGAGTGGCATCCACTTCCATAACAGCTTGCCTCCAGAAACCCTATGAACCTGGAGAGAGGATGAAAGGCACCCAAGCGTCTAGGACTCTCCTTCATAGGGTCTCTATGAGTCGCCTGTGACTCGACGGCATTTAACAACAACATTATTTATTATATTAGATAGTTATGTGTGTATAAAGTACACTTACACACATATATGCTTTTTTTTTTAATTTAGGTTGTTTATTTTTCATTTCAATGAACATCTACAGAGATTTTGGGATTCCATTCATTCATTGTTGCACCCTTCTCCCCGCACAAACCCCTCCCCATATATGCATTTTTTAAATATCTGCTTTTAGATTCTCTATCTTGTTTCACATAATCTATTTGTTGCTAGGCCAATGCCAGAAAAATTCACTGTTTTCCTCGATGTAGATTTAAAGTATTGATGATAACTAATAAGGTCATTTGCACTATTCTTTCAAAAACATTTCTTGGTTATCATCACAGACTTACCCTTCAGTCACAGTCCCTGGCCAAAATTCATTCATTATCAGATGAGTATTAAAAAAATGTAACACTATCAGGTTTCCATTCAAAACCAAAACAACAAAGCCATCATATGTTACCTTATGAAGCTCTAGACCAATGCCAGCAGCCATCTTCCCTCCATAGGACTCTGAGAAGATGTAGAATGGAATCGTCTAGCAAGAAAAGTAACATGTAAAGAAGTGAAGCATCTCACAGGCTTTTAAAAATTCATATAAAATTTAAAAATAAAAATTCATATTAATTCACTTTACATTTCCATCCCAGGCAATGTCCAGACACAACAAACCAGCTTTTGTCTTCCCTCTCATCTCTGACTGCAATGTCCAATCAAAAAACTGCCTGCAGGTTCATTCTTTCAAGCAAAACCCTTCAACTTTCAAGATAATAAAAAGGAAAGCCCACTTTTGGGTATGAAGAGGTCCTTTCTAAAATCAGCTGGGGATCCATTGTTGTTGGTTTTTTTTTATAAGAGGGGCTGAGTTATGCTGAGTGGTGTCGTGTTGTGGCCACCAGCCCTTTACTTAGCTGTTCCCAGCCTTTGCTCACCTGGAATTCTCTGTGAGAGTTAAAGAATGTTTTCAGGAGAACCATCATGTCCGAAGCCACCATGTCGAGGTTTTTGGTGTATTTGCCACTCCCATTTACGTAACTGAACCCGGTGCCCACGGGATTGTCCACAAACAGGAGACTGGCAGACTGGAGCTACGAGTCACAGACAGAGGGGAAGCATAGTTGCAATCAGTCAGCTGGTCAACATTTACCTTTGTGTATCTTCCATGGCTCAGCACAGCACATGTGTGAAGATGACCACTGTGGTTATGAGCCTGTGGCTAAATGGTATCTTCTTTGAAGATAAGAGATGAAAACATAAAATATAGCGAGGAGAAGGCAGAAGTAAAGATCGCACAGATGGGCAGATCAAAGACTGGAAGTTGACACTTTCCCCCACGATACAAATGTACCACATGTAATCGGTTAAGCATGTAAACCATTACTGTCAGTCTGAGCACTAAGTCTACGCAGTGAGAAAGTTCTCATCTCTGAATATCACTCACAGCTTTTCTTTAAATGAATCCAGTTCTGACACTGGTATGACTTCCTAGTACACACTCTCTCTCTCACTGTCAAGTTGGTTCTGACTCTTAGCAAACCCTCACTGCATTTCCAAGGCTGTAATCCCCATGGGAGGAGAATGCCCATCTTTCTCCTGAGAAGCTGCTCGTGGATTTGAACCACAGACGTGCAACCTTTGGGTTAGCACTGCAACTGTCTGTCTCCACATGACGCCACCAGCACTCTCTCCTTTGTACATTTGTTGATGTTGTGTGCTGTCGAGTCAGAACTGACGCATAGCTGGCCCTCCGGTGAATTTTCAGAGGCTATAAGTTGGGAGGAGTCTGCTCGTTTTCTCCCATGCAGCAGCTCATGGATTCAAATCATGCACCTTTGGGTGGACAGCACAACTCCTTACCATCAGGCCACCAGATCTCCCTCCTTTTTACATTAGGGGAACATGATTTATTCTACTATGTTTCTCCAAAGAGGTTTACAGTTACAGAGGGCTGTTAATGATCAAGTCCAGCCATGTCCTTTACAGGCTACCAGCCCCTCCTTGCCCAGGACTTGGGCCTGGGTCTACTCAGTTTTGGTTACCGTTGCACCAGCCATGTGCCCTCTTAACTCTGAGAGGCTTGAGACAAGCCAGTGGCGACCTCTCCTAGCACAGCGGAAGTGGCATTTTAATTGGACATGGATAGGAGTGTCCTAGGTCAAAGGAGTAGCCAGGTGCATTGACTCCATAGCAAGACTAATTAATAAAGGGCACGTCATGAAGAGTGGTGCAGAGAGAAATGAGAAGTCCAAAGGGCGCAGAGGGGTCCTCAAAGCAGCAGCACAACTCAGAATGCTAGAGCAGTTGCAATGATGTGAGACAGATATGAATGTGTGGCCAACCGAATGAGATCCAAGCCAAGGACAGAGAGGAAACCTGAAAGTAAAGCGTACCTGGGTAAATGTATGGAGATGTGACTGGAGGTCGGCGTGGTGCAGGGTATGCTTAGCAGTCTGAGCTGATCATTTAGATAACTGAAAAATGTGGAAGGAGGAGCAAGAAGGAGGAATGCAAGCAGGAAACACGAGGAAGAATGCGAAGAGAGCAGTCACACTCTGGGGATTCCAACCAGTGTCACCGAACCAAATGGGCATGAATTGTTGAATGCAAAGCCAATTTGCAAGGGAGCTCTGGTGGCCTAGTGGCAAGAAGCTGCACTGCAGTCCCAGAGGTGTGCGGTTCGAATCCACCAGGTGCTCTGCTGGAGAAGGAGGGACAGTCTCCTTCTGTACCAGTCAGATCCGACTTGATGGTACACACACAAAAAAATAATAAAATTAAATTAAAAAAAAATAAAAGGAAAAAACCCAATTTGCTCTGCAAACGTTGACCCATATCACAACAAAAAAGTTTAAAAAACCCTCTGTGGTGTACTAAAAGCTGTTGGTTTAGATACTTTAAATGAGTGAATAATATATAGGAAGGTAGGACAGAGAAGAAAGGATAGAGGTTGTGACCAGATAGTAGGACTTCCATCTGAGATTTCAGATGCCTTTATGTGGATCACAGTAGGTTCAAAGGAAGTGGAGAGGAAGGTCACGTGGTTGGGAAGGGCAAGGGAGGTCTGCGTGGGGTAAGTCGTAGAGAAATGGCAGATGCTAAGCTAATGAAGCAGCCTGTGGACATGTGTCCAGGGCCTCAGTACACCCAAGGAAGGCAGACCACATGATGCTGGTGGTGGAAGAGGGGAAACAGCGCTAAATTTGTGACACACACACACACCGCCCAGAGTGGGAAGGGCAGAGGGTTTGGCCTCTGAGAGGTCACATCTCAGGTTCACCTTACCCAGGTGGTGTTTCGTGGTTTGAGATCACTGTCAAGGGGTCCAATTTCTACAAAGTTTCCAAATCCGGTGCTGGAACCTCCTGGACCGCCCTGTGGGAGAGAAGAGAAACAAAAATAAGCCTGGGCAAAGTCGTAGTCAAGCCTGCCATTACAGAGGACCACACTCACTATTTTGGCAGTGTCACCAAGACCAAACCCAAGCCCACTGCCACCATTTACAGCAGAGTAAGGCTGGAATGCTCACACGCAGATGGTAGCAGGGGATTCAGTGAAGGTATTTCTGCTCCTCTACAGGACGGAATGTTACATTGCCATTTAGAAATGACAGCAATGAGAAACTATGTGGCAATGTGAAGAAATGCTTGGGACATACCAAACTGAAACTAAGTGGAGTACAAAGATGGATACTTTTGAGACTTAACTCAGCACCTCCCAAGATCTGTTTATGGGGACTAATGGCTTTGGATCATGATTCTGTAGGACAACTAGCTCCTGGCTTGATCAGTACAATTTGATATCTTAAAAGCTTGGGAGCTTTTGTCTAAGAGACAACTATTCATCTCTGCATTCAGAGAAAAAGAGAAAGAAGGAAACAAAAGACTCAGAGAATAATTTATTGCATAGGACTCATCTACCCTGAGACCAGAGGCACTGTATGGTGCCTGGTTACCAACACTGGACATTCTGACCAGGAACATAAAAGATAGAATCTGACAGAATGGGAGTAAAATGTACAAAAGAATTCAACTTTTTTAAAAGTCCAGATTTACTGGACAGTGTAAGTGGAGGACTTCCCCAAGACTATGGCCCGGAGATATTATTTAAATGTTCAATCAAAACGAATCCTTATAGTCATCTTTCATCTAAATAACAGATCAGCTTAGAAAATAAACAGCATCATCCATGAATACATGAGACCAAATGGTCATCATTTCCTGAAAAGCAAAGGAAGGGAAGAGGACAGAGAAACTAGACTCTTGGAAACAGAGCAAGTAGAACAGAACTAGAGGCAACTGATGTGATGAAAAGTATAACCAATGTCACTGGGCAAGTTGTGTGGAAATTATTAAACAGGATCCTAATTTGCTGTGCAAACTTTTATCAAGACCACAATAAAATATTTTACTTATAAACCCTGAAACCAAGTATGTGTCCATGAATGGAGATTGTGTCCCTTTTACCTAGTGCATTTATGGGGATAGGGATCAAAGTAGAATTGAGCACCTAGGAATCCTGGGGACTCTGTACACGTAGGTGAGACCCATTTCCCCTTTCTGGTTTTGATAAGCCATGATGCCACAGGGAACCTTCTTCTACTCCCATCCCAAAATGTAAGAAGAAACTGGTGGAGGATGTAGTTGTCTGTTTGAGAAGGCCCTATTGCAAACCTTTTTTTTCTTCTAGAACTCCAGGATGTGGCACTGACTTGGTACAAGCCTCCCTGTGCCTCCTAAATGCGATAAATGTGTCAGTGGACCAACTGCAGAGCTTGAATCTCTGCAAAGTGCACCTAAAATAGCTCGCATCACCGCTCACGTGATGTGACCTGATTCTCAAGACAGAGAAGTCATCGCTTGTTTCCACAGCAGGACGCTAAAATAGACCTCTTTTTAATCTAAATTAAATATTCCTTCTTTAGTCATAATGCTTTTTCTTCTCACTTGGGTCTTTGGGGAAATGAAAAAGAGTAGATTAGCCTTTGTCACTGGTCTATCTCTAAATGACATCCCATCTCATGTGTTAACCTGACCAGAGGTCACAAACTGGACACCCTACAGGGGCCAAGCACTGCCATGGAGCAAAGGAAACCAGATCCTCAGGAAGTATCTCCCCTGCCTAGAGCCTTGGGGACAGAGAATTCACACTCCAAGTTGCTGAACTAAGCAGTTGCTCTTGACTTGAACTCATGGCAACCCCATTGGTGTCAAAGTAGCATTGTGCTCCACCGGGGTTTCTCTGCCTCACAGTCATTTATTTTGTTATTGTTGAGAACACATACAAGACATATACCAATTGGACAGTTTCTACATATACCTAAGCTTCCTACGCAGCTAAAAGTTGGACAACAAATAACAACGACCAAAGAGGAATTGATGCTTTGGAATTGTGTCGTTGGAGAAGAGTACTCATGGCCTGCCAAAGGCGTCCCGTGGACTGAACATCCCCTGGATTGCCAAAAGAACAACCAAGTCTGTCTCTGAGAAGGTGCAACCAGGGTGCTCCTTAAAGGCAAAGATGGTGAAACTCCAGCTCACATCCTTGGGACATGTTGTCTAGAGGGGCCAGTTCTTGGAGAAGGACATCATGCTAGGAAAGGTGGAGGGTCAGAAGAAGAGAGAAAAGCCCCTCAACAAGACGGACTGAGCAGTGGGGTTCAGCTGAGCATGTCAGAGAAAATGATGATGGCCAGGATAGGGCCACGTTCAGGTCTGTTATTCACAGGGTCACTATGCGTTGTAGTCAACTTAGATGACACAACTGAGTGGCGCTGGTTAAATTCTTCAAGTTGTACAATCAGTCTCACTCTCCTTTCCAGAGCGGCTGTTCTTCCTTCATTTACATAAACTCATTGTCCTCTGAGATTCCTATTCAGCTTTTCAAGTTGCTGTTGTCAACCTGACCTCATATTGATAGTTCCTAAAAGAGCAATAATGCGAAGACTGCTCCTTTTGTTGCTTTCGTTGTTTAACAAGTGAAGTTAAACTACTGCTCCATTGAAAGAAGACTTTAGGTGATATTTTTTGTTTAAGACTTAAAGATTATCTCAGGGCAAGCTTTAGGGCTTTACCCACCCTCTGTTGTTCCAAAAAGTTTAGAGTCCCAAGAACGTGAAATTCTCCCCTGTCTGATTAGCATTCTTCTGTGGAATCTCTGGTTAAGATGATCAGCACTGGTAGCCAGGCACCATGCAGTTCTTCTGGTCTTAGAGCCAAAAAAGGCCATCGTTCCTGGAGGCAATCAGGCACCCATCGCATAACTTCTTCCTATTGCTGCTGGAGGGGAATAAACACCAGTTGCTGTACTTTACAAGGTCATTTGTAAACTTCTAAGACCCTAGGCACTAAGTAATGAATGAGGACGTAGAACAGAAGTACTAGGGCCAGTTAATTGGGATGTCAAAATGAATTCATGACCTTCAATCTTTAAACCAAGAAACTGAAGACCACGAGGTGTTTGGTTGTCCATGAGCAGATTCAGAAGGTACTCTGTGCATTTTGTTATCAACACAGCTATCACACACTTTTGCCAATTTGTGTTCACAGGTGAACAACTTGACAGCAATGACAACAACCAACTACACAACCCTACCCTTAATCGATGAGGTTTTCCCATTTCTCCTAGTCTTCCTTTCCCCTATATCTCCTGCCCCTAAGAACCACTGAGAAACTCTGGTCTCTATAAATTTGCCTTTCCTTGTCTTGCCTATAAATGAGGTCATATATTTGCCCTTTTGTGCTTCACTCAACTCAATATCTTTAATCTTCATTCATGCTGTAACATGTATCAAGGGGCTTTTTGTTTTGTTTTGGTTTTTTTAAGGTTTGGTGTTTGTTAACTTTTTTATTTTATTATTTTTGTGTGTGTACCATCAAATCGGATCTGACTGGCACAGGAGGAGATTGTCCCTTCTTCTCCAGCAGAGCATCTAGTGGACTTGAACCATGCACCTCTGGGATTGTATCAAGGTTTATTTTCTCCCTCCTGGCTGAGTAGTACCCAGTGTCTGTATGCATCGTGTTTGCCCATTAGTTTGGACATTTAGGTTTTCACCTTTCAGCTACTGTCAATAGTGCTGCAGTTACTGTACCAGCGTCTCTTTGAGTCTCTAGCTCCAAACCTTAGGAGTGGAATCACTGATCACTTGTAGTTCTCATCTCAGTTTTCTGAGTGATCCTCACACTATTTTCCACAGCAGTTGTACCATTCCGCATTCTCACCAACAGTGATTAGTTGTTGCTGTTGTTGTGTGCCGTCGGGTTGGAATAGACCCATAGCTGACCATCCAGCAAGTTTTTGGAGGCAGTAAATTGCATGGGAGGAGACTGCCCATCCTTCTCCGTTGGAGCAGCTAGCTGGTGGATTCAGACCACACACTTTTGAGATTGCAGTGCAGCTTCTTACCACCAGGCCACAAGAGACAGTGAAGAATTGCCATTTTCCCATATCCTCACCAACATTTGGAGTGTTTTCTGGGTTTTTGTTGGTTTAAGTACATGTTTGTATGAATCTTGGCGATCCCAAAGGCAGCAAATCTATAGGGTTTTCATTAACTAAGTAGATGACCAGGCCTTTCGTCTGTGGCACCTCTGGGTAGACTAACACTTTCAACCTAACTCACATAAGTGAATTGACTATGCTAGATCTCCCGATTTTTTGGAAAGAAAGCAACTTCCTGATTGTAGGTTATTAGTAATAAATTCACTTAAGACACTATCTGACCATCTCACATATTTTGGGCACGTCATCAGGAGTGACCAGTCTCTCGAGAAAAACATCATGCTTGGCTGAAGATGACTGAAAAAGAGGAAGACTCTTAAAGAGGTGGACTGGCACGGTGACTGCAGCAATGGGCGGATGCACAGACGCGATTATAAGGAGGTCAGCATCAAGCAGGGGCACTATGAGTCAGAACACCTTGCAATCAGAAGACAGCTGGCAGCCTCTGAAATGTAGTGTTTGTCAAGGTGTGTTTCTCAGAGCAGATAAAGTCCCCAGGGGCAGCCTGGGCAAATGGGGGAGGGAGGATGTGGAACTTTGTACCTCTTCCCTCTCTCAGCCACAGCACTTCTGCTTTTTTCTGTTTTGGTTTCTATATGAAACTTCTTACTTAAGGACAGAAAGTTGTGTCTAATAAGGAAAAATATGAAAACCCCTGAAATCCCTCATATTGGAAAACATCTTGCTATAGCTGAAAGTGGCAGGATGGCAGAACCCAGTCTCCTAGACTGGCCCACACACTGCTCACTCATCCCAAGACCTTAGCCTCCAGCAGTATCATCCTGGCATTCAGCCACCCAGCACACGTGACACAAACTCGGGCTGACACGCGTCACTTCATCAGATATTTTCATATCTGCACTTGGACTGATGGAAGCAGTGGGGCAGCAGTGGGAGAATTCTCTAACTTTCCATACAGGAGACTTAAGTTTGATTCCCTGGCCAGTTGCTGTGATGCTGAACAGATTTCAGTGAAGCTTTCAGACGAAGATGTGCTAGGAAGAAAGGCCTGGTGATCTATGTCTGAAAAATCAGCTGCACTGTCAGTTCTCAATGTGCGTGGGGTTCTCATGGGGCCAGAGGAGACACAGCCAAACACCACCACCATCACTGGACTGTCAAAGGCAACACCTGAGGTAATTCTAGGAGACAGGGACCCTTTCTGCAAACTGCTCATCATTTTTCTATCCCAGAAAGCCCTGCATTACAAGGTCTTGGTCAAGTCTGGGCTCTGGGAGCTTCCTTCTCTACCAGCAGTTTTGGAGGAAGTTGTGTTAGCCTTGCATGCAGGTGAGCTGAAGAGCAACATACTGACTGGTGAGCAATCTGCAGCCCTGGCAGCGTCATGTCCTCATTTTCCAAAAGTTGAAGCAAGACCTTGCTCCTGAATCCCTCCCGAAAGACTGGTTTCCAGGTGGGTGTGGGTCAATGCTGGACAGATATTTCATAAACACCAGGAAGGTTCCTTTGCCCTCAATTCCTCAAGCAGAGATCAAGATTAAAACAAGAACACATTCATCAAGTGAGTAAGGCTGGTAGCTCACACTAAGATAAAAAAAGGCTGATGGTAAATCTTTTTTTTTTTTGGTCCTTTTACATGATTAGACAGCAAAAAGAAACAGCCACTTTGGAAAACAGTCTAGCAGTTCCTCAAAAAACTAAACCCAGAGTTACTGTATTCAGACTCACTGTCGTCTGAGTCGAGACTGAGTCAAAGTGACCCTCCCTCTGGTTTGCAAGGTTGTAAATTACAATAGGAAGTGACCATTTTTCTCCCTTAGAGCTGATGGTGGGTTCCAACCTCTGGAGACACACTGCTTTTGGATTAGAAGTGTAACTCAGTGCAGATTACACCATCACAGTTCTCTAGTTACTAAACCTAAAATTCACTGTCATCAAATTAATTCTGACCACAGAGGGTTCTGCTAAGGCTGTAAACCTTTATGGAGAAAAACTGCTTTATCTCTGTTGGAGCAGCTGATGAGTTTGAACCACTGACCTTTTTGGTCAGCAGCTGAATGCATTCACCACAATGCCATCAGGGTTCCTTCAAGTTAACACATAATTCAGCAATTCCACTCCTAAGTACATACTCAAGAGAACAGAAAAGATATCCACACAAACATCTGTACAGGAATACTTGTAGTAGCATTATTAAGAACAGCCAAAACACGAACACAACCCAAATGCCCATCAGTGGAAAAGTGAATTAATAAAATTTGTACATCAGTCATAAAAAGGAATGAAGTTCATATAAAACACAACACAAATGAAGGAATGTGTGAAACACGATGTATGTGAATGAAATACAATGCATACAAATTTTGTATGCAAACCTATACAAAGTAAAAAAGAATAAACCAACCCTAAAATACCAGAAAAGGAAAATATCTTAAAAAAAAAAAGGAATAAAGTATCAATGTCTACTCCAATGTGGATAATCCTTAAAAACATTACGGCAAGTTAAAGAAGTCAGTCACAACTGTCCACATATTATGTGATTCTATTCATACGGAAGTCCAGAAGGGGAAAATCTAGAGACAGAAAGGAGAACAGTAGCTGGTCAGGGTTAGAGGGAGAGAGAAGGGTGAGGAGATGCAGCTAATTGGTATGGGATTTCTTTCTTAGGTCATGAAAATGTTCTGCATTTGATGCTGCTCTTGGTTGTAGGGAGATGCGATGCTAACCCAAAGGTCACATCTCTCAGCTGGTTTGAAACAACTAGCATCTCCGCAGGAGAAAGATGGGAAATCGTCTCTCCTGTGATTTGTAAAGGTGGATACCCAGTGAGGGGTCAGCTATGAACCAAGGGCGACATCAATGAATTTTGAGTGGTTGTTTTTTGTTTACATAAAGTATGATTACACTAAAAACCATCAAATCTTGAATGGGTAGATTGTATGGTATGGGATTTACATCTCAGTACAGTAGTTGTTAAAAAAGAAAGCAAAGAAATAATTGAATTCAGAGTCCAGAAAAAGATCAGGAGGGGAGAGAAGAAAAGGAAAAATGTTCGGGTCCTGGACCCCAGTCTTTGCTACTGAACATTTGTGTGCCAAGCACTTTCTCTAAGGGTTCCTGCAGCCAACTAGATGTCACATTAGGAAATCTCAGCAAATGGCTCAGGAGCCTGGTGTAGTGACTTATGTGTTGGGCTGCTACAGTAAAAGTCAGCAGTTTCAGATCCACCAGCTGTTCTTTGAAAAAAATAGTGAGGCAGTCTCCTCCAGTACAGATTAAGAGCCTCAGAAACCTAAGGGGTGGGGGTGGGGGGGGTCATCATAAGTCCAAAATGACTGTAGGGCAGTGAAGGGGAAAAAGACTAGAATCAGTCAAGTATCCCAACCAGCAGTGAGGAGTCCCTAGGTGGTGCAGGTGGTTGACATGCTCAACTACTAACCAAAAGGTTGACAGTTCAAGTCCACCCAGAAGTGCCTTAGAAGAAAGGCTGGGCAATCTATACCTGAAAAAAATCAGCCACTGAAACTCCTTGAGAGCACAGACAGTTCTCTTCTGACACACGGGGTTCTCCACAAGCCAGAGTCAACTCAACACTATTGGCTGGTTATAGTTACGCAGGCACAAATCCTTAGAATAAGAAAGGGCTCCTGGGGACAATCTGACCGCCACCCCACTTCAGGCAGCAAATCCACTCTTACCTGAAGCCACATGACCAGGGGCAGTTCTGTGAAGTTCTTGCAGGGGTTGGTGGCATAGTAGAGCCACCAGAACATGTGGGCATCTTTGCGGACCGTCACATAATCCCATTCTTCCTTGCCTTCTGTTGCAGGCTGGTTCATATAATCCCATACTTCCCTGTCTTCTGTTGTGGGCCGGTTGAAGACAGCTCCTGAAACAGAGGCACAGTTTGATTACACTGAAGAAGGTCTAATGTCCAGATGAACGCCAAGCCTGGTGGGTTGTGCCATGCTGGGCCTGATGAGTTCTATTCTAGGTGCTTTACCCACCACATCTCAATACAGTGTGAAGGAGCTCTGGTGACATAATGGTTAAGTAATTCAGCTATTAACCAAAAGGTCAGTTGTTCGAACCTATTCACCTCTCTCCAAGAGACTGATGAGGCAGTCTTGGGAACTCTATGGGCAGTTCTACTCTGTCCAGTGGGTCTCTATGAACTCAATGGCAGAACATTTCTGGTTTTCTTTCTCTGTTTTTGTTTGAGGGAAAATATACTGTGGAAATTAAGAAAAATTCATTGGTGAAAATATGACAAGAAGCTGCACTGCAATCCCAAAGGCACATACACGGTTCGAGGCCACCAGCTGATCTGTGGAAGAAGGATAGGCAATCTCCTCCCACGTGAGTAACTGCCTCTGAAAACCTGCTATGTCAGCTATGTGCCTGTTCCAATTCTCTGGAACACAACACATCAGTGGAAGATGAAGCTGGGACATTTGATTTTTTCCTTTTTGTATTTCTGTATTGTGGGGACTTTTAACAGTAACTGAGAATTGTATTAATAACTTATAAAAATGAGAGATGTTTACATTTTTGGGGTAAAAGAAAAACCTTGAGGTGAAAAAAAATTGAGGTGGTATTTTTTGTTTGAGTTTTTGGTTTTGCATTAGTTGGTTGGGTTGTTTTGTCTTGTTTGACAGTGCTCTGGATATATCAGAATTCTTTTTTCATTTTATATTGGTTTGCATACAAAACTCATACACATTCTGTTTCATTCATGTACATTGTGTTTCACTCATTCCTTCATTCACACGGCTTTTATACTGGATGACACCTATGCAAAAGACTCTAAGAACATGATTAAAGATATATCACAAATTAATAGGGCCAAGATTCTCTAATACATGCTGGCAACAGTTTTATAAGAAGGGGAGAAACATAAAATTTAGGTCTTTTCTTAGCTCTTTGAGCCAAAATAAATTCCAAATGGATCAATTATTTGCATTTCAAAATTAAAATGTTAAAACTGAGACAAAATTAGAACTTAATATTTCCTTTTAAACTCAGGGAAAAGATTTAAGCAGACCCGAGAAGTGATAAGGAAAACTATCACCAGAATGAAGGCAGAAAATAGCTATATTTCTATATAAAAACCTGAAAATGGCAAACAATAAACAAAGAAAAATCAACAGCAAATGTAAGGGAAAGGGCATTTTTTCTTTACTTCTTGGTGCTGTTAGGTAGAGCAATTTAAAAATACTAGTCTCTAATTATGCTGAGTGAACTTACTCAATCCCATAAGGACAAATATTGTATGAAACCATTACTATAGAATGAGTATAAGTATCCAAGGGGGATCGGGGAAGGTGGAAGCAGAGGGATGAGGATCGGGGGGACTAATTATGGGGTTGTACCATTTTATGGGTGGGGGTGTGAGGGAAATTGGAAGAATTTGGGAAGGGCATACGCCAGGGATACATCCTATCTCCATACCTTTTCAACCTATATGCAGAACAGATTATCCGGGAGGCGGCACTCTATGAGGAGAAATGTGGGGTCAAGATTGGTGGACGATTTATCAACAATCTGTGTTATACGGATGACACAACCCTGCTTGCTGAAACTGAGGAGGACCTGAAGTGCCTGCTGCAGAGTGTCAAGGACTGCAGCCTACAATATGGATTGAGGCTCAATGTCAAGAAGACAAAGATTCTCACCACTGGACCAATTGGCAGCATC